CCGTTTTTCTCTCTGCCCCCTCCCGCTTTTTTTTATTCCTTGGTTTTGTGCGAAACAAAATTTTTTTCCGTAACATCTTGATGAAAATGTGTTCCGCTCCACGGTTTGATGAATATTCAGAACGGGCACACTGAACAAAGTGGAGCATTTGGTCTGTCAAGCAAGAGGCTCAAAGTCAAGAATAAGCATAGGCTCCCAGGCTATGGTTGGGATTGACTGCGATCTAATATGCTTAGTCTCGCATGGGGGTACAGGGAGAAGAAAGCTAGCTAGGGGGTAGTAGCCAGGGGAGAGTGGCAGTGGGATTAGCTTCAAAGGAAGCTATCACCAGGGTGCCACATCAGCTCCTTTGAGCAAAACTGCAGGGAGAGATTAAAAAATGTGGGGAATAGAGAGCAGGTTATTAAAAATATGGAAAATTGTCAAAATATTATAGTTTCTGTGGCAACATTTCTTTGGTTTTTCTTACTTATTTATTTTGTTGTCCCCCTTCCCTGTTTACACATATGTGACAGAGATGGAAAGCTGAAGGAAGCAGATCAAATTCTTGCTATTAATGGACAAGCCCTTGATCAGACAATTACACATCAACAGGCTATCAGCATCCTACAGAAAGCAAAAGATAATGTCCAGCTAGTTGTGGCCAGGGGCACATTCCCTCCGCTCATCAGCCCTGTAGTTTCCCGGTCTCCATCTGCTGCTAGCACGGTCTCAGCCCATTCCAACCCGGTGAGTATACCCCACATGTCTATGTATTCAGTTCTGGGCATGTGTGCACTTACTGTATCTAGTATTTAAGACTTTTTTTTTTTGTAACTAGAATGTGTATTTCCTTCACAGTTCTTGAGATTTTTCTTTTTCTTTGTTGTACCTTTTCCCAAGCAATAAGTAGAAAATATTCAGGCTTGCTGGGGAGAGATCTTGATTTTGAATGTGTTCCTTCTTCCCATCTGCCAAATTCTTGATATGCAGCAGTACAAATACAGCATGTTTACCTTACTTTGTGAAGATTTATTCTGAGGTAGCAGTAAACAGGAGCTTTTTTTCCTCTTTGCCCTCTGCCTGGGCAAACAGAAATTTTTGAGGCATTGCAGTCTGGTCTGCAACACCAGCCACATGGGCCCTGCTCTGTTTATCTGTTGTCTGTTCGTGATGGGGCTCAAGTAAAGCAACAAGAGAGAGCCATCAAAAAGTTCCATGTGTAAGGATGCACTTTAGGACCCTCAAAAAACAGCTCTGCTATATCTCCTTTCTTTTGCAAGCTTTTGGACATCTAGGGATAGAGAACATAGTGCAGAAATGTGGTGATGTTAACTATGCTTTCTCTTCCTGGTATCTTACTCATGTGATGTACTGGAATGAAACAACCTGTCTTTGGTTTCTGTAGGTTTTGCTGTTCAGTCATTTGTGGTTCTTCTTTAAGGGAGTCAATAAGTAGAAGTATACTGAGCAATCAGTTTGGAAAAAAGCAGCTAGTTTAGTGTTTACTGTATCATAAAAGCTTTATGGAAGAAATTTAATTAATCTTTTCTTCTGTGTGCAGAAGTAAAGCTGTTCGGCCTAACTTTTCCTGTCAGCACGTAGGAGAGGCCTGCTCTGTTCCAGTGTTCCTCTGACACACTTCCATGTGATTGCCTTCTATTCTCCTAACAGCTTCCCTTGCTTGAAAAAATGTTCTTTTCAAACCTGCCATGGCTCCTTCTGTTTTTTGTTCATGTCTTTCCCAGTCCTTATGATCCCTTCACTTTCTAATGCTAGGGGAAAGCAGCTTATCTGGAGCCATTCTTTTTCCTTCAGGCTTTGCTTGATCAGCGTTCATTTATATTAGGACTGTGGATTCCCAAACAGATACTATAGTGCTTTGAATCTGTCGTACCTTGGTTACTTCAAAAGAACTGCGTATTTTCAAAATCCTGCCTGATGGAGCACCAGCTGTGGTGTTAGATTTCAAATGACTTTACAGTGTGATTTGTTCTTCAAGAGAAACAATACCAGGAGCTTCCAGTTGTCCCTTTGGTACCACTCCACACAAGCAAGCTAGCATTTGTCTGTCAGAGCAGTTTCGCTCCTGCTGGAACATGAATCTTGCTTGTCCTTAGAGCTACTTCATCCCAGTGCTGTTGACATTGGAAAACCAGAAGTCTTTGCTCATTACACAGGGGGCAATGTGGCTAATGCCTGCCTTACAATGCTGGTGCTGCTTTCAGCCTTAACCTCTGAGTTGAGTTTAACCTTTCTCCTGCTCTTTGTTATACTGGCAGATGAGAACATACACTTTTCTGAAGATTTTAATTTCCTTTCCTGTGAGATTTTCTAGCAGCACTGTTCTCCCAGACTGCGATGGGACATAGAGATGGATCGTCGTAGACTGCTGCTTAAATTCATTTGGCAAGCTCTTGAAGGGCCTTACCCACTAACCAGCTCTGGTTTTAACTAGGGAAATTCCAGCTGTTATGGAATGGGCTATTTATTGCTTAAATATTATGTAATCTTAACACCTAATAGTAAAGAGGACCCACGTTCTTCTCACATTCGTTCATTTAAAAACATATTTGGGAAATAAGAGAAAATACTTTGCAAGATTTAATTTGTATGTCCTTATTTTAATAATTTGCAAGCTTGTATTTATTCCTTTTAGGTTCACTGGCAGCATGTGGAGACCATTGAGTTGGTGAACGATGGCTCAGGTCTGGGATTTGGGATAGTGGGAGGAAAGTCAACTGGAGTGATTGTTAAAACCATCCTCCCAGGAGGGGTAGCTGATCAGGTAAGTTCAGCCTACCCATCTGTTTGCTGTTCAGTAGGGTATGAAGTTACTTTTTTAATCATGCGAAGTAGTGATAGCTTTTTTTCTCATAAGCATAAAAAAAGAGAGAGCAAGTGGTGAAGTTTGTTGTCAGTAAAGGTGTGTTTAGTGCCGTCGTGGTTTGACCCTGGCCGGCAGCCAGGTACCCACACAGCTGCTCTCTCATTCCCCCTTCTCCACTGTACCGGGGGAGAAAATATTTCAAAGGGCTTAAGGTTTGAGATAAGGACAGGGAGATCACTTTCCTTTACTGTCCCAGGCAAAACAGACTCGATTTTTTGGGGAAATTAATTCCGTTTATTTAGAGAACAAATCAGAGAAGAGTAGTGAGAAGTAAGAAAAAAACCCAAACAAACAGATCTTAAAAGCAGAGCACCTTCCCCCCATCCCTTCCTTCTTCCCGGGCTCAACCTCAGTCCCGGTTTCTCTACCTCCTCCGCTCAGGCGCAGGGGGACAGGGAAGGGGGTTTACGGTCAGTTCATCCGATGTTGGTTCAACCGCTTCTTCTTCACTCTAGAGGAGGACTCTTCATTCTTCCTCGGGGTCATTGTGGGGTCCCTCTCACGGGAGACAAGCTTTGCACTTTCTTCTCCAGTGTGAGTTGTCCCACGAAGGGCAATTCATCACAAACTGCCCAACGTGAGACACCTCATGACGGGCAACCCACCCCTGGTGAGTCTGAGGTGCAGTCCTTCAGGGGAAACTGCTCCAGCGTGAGTCCCCCGCAGCATCACAAAAGTCCCACCAGCCAACCTGCTCCAGCGTGGGCATTCGCTCTTCCACGGGCTACAGGCTCCCGCAGTGACCT